TAATAGCTTTTTCTCTAAGCTATATTGAGCAAATTTTCAATATATAATATGTACTGGAGATTTTAACTTCATACAAGGATCTCAGAGGTATTATCACAAATTGATACCTATATTTGAAGGTAACAAGGAAGAACTTGTATTGATACGCTTTGGCTAAATGCAAGATCAAATCATGTTTAAATCTGTTGATATCTAATGGTTGTTTTAAAGATTGACAGACTGAGTATTGTATATGATTAAACTATAATATTTGCTTGGCAATATATAGAACTAAAACATGTACTAATTTACCTCAGCCTCTCTAGTAGTGTCTGAGGTAACTGCAATTTTAGAACCCTTAACAGATGCGGCATTTGACTGAATCAAGACAGTCAGTTTGATAAGGAATTAAGAATAAAATGAATCTTAGCATGAGTTATTTATTTGATAAATTACTTTATTATTGTGGATAATAAAGAATTAGAACCTCTAACTTCAGAAAATCAATGGTTCCAGATGTACAAAATGCAAAATATATATCTTAGGATTTCAAAATGGAAGCCATTCCTCAGAAAATATTGTTTCACATTCACTGAATTCCTCAAAGGATTCTTTTCCCCTTTTCATCCACTACTGATAAAATCTCCTGTCGAAAGGTTTTTGCCAGATGGCAGATAAATTGATCCAAGGAGGTTTTGCCTACAAAATGTAATTAATCAACCACCCAGTTACATGATTCTTACACAGATATATCATGTAGAATGCACTCAACAATCCTTGTTGTGATTATAGAATTTTGTGGTAGGCAATACCTTTTTGGTGACCAAAATAAAAGAAAAATACCCTTCAAAAATATTTCAAATTCAATTTGATTCTGGGATCAAATTGATCTTTGATCTTTTTTTGTTCTTTTCTGCTGGAATTGTAAAAAATGAAATTGTTTGAATCAAACCAGGTTGTCCTCAAATCAGAGACCACTTGCATGGCAGGAGACTGAGGCCCATATATCAAATGCTTGAGGGTTTCAATGTCTCATCTCAAAAGCCTCAGTTTACCCACCATACCATCACACATCTGCTCTGATGTAGGCGCTTGCTAGTTAAGTAATGACCTCTCCCCCCAGTCTGTTGTGATCCTCTCTAAATTCTCTGAGACAGAAATTGAAGATGCAGATGAAATGTGCTGTTGATCTGAGGAGCTGGCTAGCAATTAAATATGTGAGATTGTTTCAGGTGACAATGAGCACAATGTGTGTTTTTGTGTGTGTGCTTGCATGTGTGTGTGTACTCGTATGTCAGTGTGTATCTAACTCAGATCATGAGGGTTAGGGTTAGAGTTAGTATTATAGTGGGCACATACCTCAAGAACCATGCCAACAGCTACTCAGGGCAGAGCAAAGATGATCAGCATAACTGCTTAAAAAGAAAACATCAATATCCCTAATTTAGCCATCCCAACATCACTGGGGTATAGAATTGCTATTTCCTGGTCTTTGCTCTTTTGTTGGACTCCAGATCTGTCTTCCTGTTGCTCTTGCTCCTTTTCCAGCATTTGGATCCTGGTTCCCAGTATATCTTTGGCAGTAGGGGCTTGGGGCTTGGGGGGTTAGATAAATGTAACCGGGTAAACATGTAAACAATTTCTTTTTGATTATGATTAGTCAGATAAAAATATCCAATGACGAAGTAGATTAAAAATATAGAATTGTCCAACATCTCACCACTTAAAACAATGCCCCACAGAAAAGCTATAAACACTATCAGATTCTTTGCATAATGTAATCTTGGTTTGCTCCTAAATTTTGTTGAAATTTAATAGATTTACTACCATACTAGGAGGTACTTCTGGAATTGGAAGATCTATGCCACCAATCTCATTGCCCTGCGGATCGGATCTCAGGATATGGGATTGGAATTTGACTCATTAGTTCCTCTGTTCCAGATTTAGGAACTAACAATTGACTGCCCACTTGTTTTTAATTTTGTTGCATTAAAAGATGGAGGAGAGCCCCTTGGCTGTATGATGTCTGTTAGGGCTTAAACCCAACAGCATGGTAGTTTATGCTGTATGTTACGGCTTAGACCCATTAGCAAATTAACACACCACTGTTGGGAAATGTCCAGTGAGGTGGGGAGGAGAAACCAAATGGGGAGTTAGCTTTGAATCATTGTGTAGCCTCAAGAGATCTAGAAGTGACACCCCCTAAATTCCAATGAAACTTCCCCAAAGAAGGCAAGCAGTCTGGGGAGATTCCTGTACTATATATAGAATTGTAATAAAGTTGTCAGCTTGAACCCATCACATGTTGATCTATTGCTTGGGCCTGACATACACTCACCCGCATAGATTCTGAATGCCAGGGGGCAGGTATGGCAGAAAAGAATGGGAGGCTCCTTGTTGTGAGGACTGGTTATGGTTGTGATTAGTTGAGTCACTATAGTACAGGTTTGTAATATAGTTTCCCTCTGTTAAATCAATCTATTCAAGGTGCCTGATGAATGTTGCTGGGTGTCAGAGGAAGCTTTGGTTTTTCTAAGGCAAACCAGGGGGAGTCAGAAGTACGGGAAGCTAACACAGCTATTGAATGATTTTCTTGTCCAACCTAGGCACCTTCTCCTCCACTTTTTCCTCAGAAAGAACAAATCCCTCTAACTAAAAAAAAAAGAGAATGAAAACAAAGAGTAACTGAGCATGTATAACAACACAAATGCAACAAAATAAGGTTGCCTGCATTGAGGCTTTTCCAAAGAAACAGCTAGCACAAGTATTAAAAGGTGCCAATACTGCAATATCAAATATGATCACTAACTCACTGCAAGAAACAAACCAATTAATAAACGGCATGGCTGCAGTTATAACAGAATATCTGGGATGAAAAAAAAATTCAAAGGAAAAAAAGCTAAAAAGTGTACCACCAAAATGGAAGATCAGGCTGAAAAATAAGATCAGCATGTTAAGATGCAAGCTAGAACAGATGAAAGAAGATAAGCTTAACGCAAGTTAAGATAGGCAAGAAAATGGTAAGTGAGCGCCTGTCCAGCCTAGACGAGTTCAAATCACCAGGAACAGATGGATTACACCACAAGGTTCTCAAGGAACTGGCAGATGTGATCTCAGAATCACCCAACTATATTTTCCAAAGATCCTGGAGGATCTTTGGAAGAAACTACCAGAGGACTGGAAAAGAGCTGATGTAGTTCCCATCTTCAAAAAAGGAAAAAAAATGGACCCAGGAAATTACAGACCTATCAGCCTGACCTCAATACCTGGGAAGATTCTGGAAAAGATAATCAAACAATGAAACAGCGAACACCTAGAGGAAAACAAAGTCATTACTAAAAGAGAGAGTATGAATGGATTTCCAGAAAATATTTGCAGACTACAGAAACCATTTGTGCTTCAGTTTGAGATTCAGACAGCACGGACCCATCCCCAATAGCCTGTGCCTATTTTCAACAGTGAAGGGATACAGGGCAGAAAACATCATGCAGCCAAGAAGGCTCCACACACAAATCTTACCTGGTAAGATTCTGGAAAAGATAAGCAACTAATCAGCGAACACCTAGAGACAAACAAAGTCATTACTAAAAGCCAACATGGGTTTGTCAAAAACAGATCTTTGGCAGTAGGGGCTTGGGGCTTGGGGGGGTTAGATAAATGTAACCAGGTAAACATGTAAACAATTTCTTTTTGATTATGATTAGTCAGATAAAAATATCCAATGACGAAGTAGATACTGCATCCAGTTTTGGTCACCACGATGTAAAAAAGATGTTGAGACTCTAGAAAGAGTACAGAGAAGAGCAACAAAGATGATTAAGGGACTGGAGGCTAAAGCATATAAGGAAAGGCTGCTGGAATTGGGTATGTCTAGTTTAATGAAGAGAAGGACGAGGGGGGACATGATAGCAGTGTTCCAATATCTCAGGGGTTGCCATAAAGAAGAGGGAGCCAAGCTATTTTCCAAAGCTCCTGGAGGCAGGACAAGAAGCAACGGGTGGAAACTAATCAAGGAGAGAAGCAACCTAGAACTAAGGAGAAACTTCCTGACAGTTAGAACAATTAACCAGTGGAACAACCTGCCTCCAGAAATGGTGAATGCTCCAACACTGGAAGTTTTTAAGAAGAGACTGGACAGCCATTTGTCTGAAATTGTATAGGGTTTCCTGCCTGAGCAGGGGGTTGGACTAGATGACCTCCAAGGTCCCTTCCAAGTTTTTTTTTTATATTATTATTATTATTATTATTATTATTATTATTATTATTATTATTATTATTATTATTATTATTATTAATTTCATCATCACAGTAAAAGTTGATGATGTTCGATTCAGTGATGGGGGAACAGTTAAAAAGCCCAAATTTAATTATTTTTTTTGCAATTTTGTACTGCAATCTCTTTCTAAGCAGAGATATCAGGTATAAGTGACTAGCCAAACAATATCTTAGTTGTCCAACGAAGAGCCCAGTGCCTAAGGATTTCCTGGTAATTTGTTTCTGGATATTCAGGGGCAATTCTTGGTGTGACATAAATTCTAGAGTTGTGGATTCTTTGTAATACTCTATGTTAGAGCAGTTCAGAATGGATTTCATTCAATTGCAAATAAATGCCAGGGTTCTGTCAGGTTGTTGACATTCCCTATTAATGCAATAAATCTCATTGTGATTTGATATAAATACTGTTACAGAGCTGAGGAAGAAATGTATGATTGTAGGTAGAGATGAGAGAGGAGAGTTACAGAGAAAGGGATTGACCCAAAAGATGTGACTTTCATAATCCCCCTTTTCTCAAAGTTGTTTATTTTTAGCCAACAGCTCCAAGGGTCAGCTTTGCATCCATCTGCACACCATTGAATGACTGAATCCTTCCCCCCAAAAAATGAAAAAAAAAGTTTTGACCCCAAAAGACATTATGGATCAGCACTTTATATTTATATTCAGACTGCTAATTAATGAACTGAAATGCCAACTCAGTTAGTTGCATTAGTAGAAATGACATAGAAAATGTAACATTCCATTGCATAAGATATAGCAAAGTGAGGGCATGTGGCTACATTGCATAAGCTGAGAACTGCAGAAATGAATGAAACTTGTCACCAAGCCATGTTAGTCTTGACCCCTGGCCCTGTTATGTGCAGTCTTGCTTAGCAATACACATTAGGCAAGACAGGACCTTGTTCCCTGAACAAACAACCCAATATCATTTACAGATATTGTTATTGCCATAGGGTTAATACTTTATTGTACAGCAGGTTGTATTTTGGAAGACATCTATATCGCTAACCTTTGGGCCAATTCCTTAATTCTGTTGCAATGGAAACCACTCAAGGAAACAACATTTTAAAAGGGTTTTAGAGTAGAATTTGGCTGAAGAGCCATCATAGCATCAACTTTGTACCCTCTCTATAAGCTATCAGCTTACATCTCATCTAAATCTGGAAGGTTAGAGAAAGCAGTTGTTTTAGATATATTTTTCCAAAAGTGCACGTGTGATCCTTATCTAAGACCTTAAATTCTAAGGAAAGGTCCCCAATCACAAACGTTCATGGCTACCAAAGAAGTCTTACATATGAATTGTATGCAATCTCTTAAGTAGCATGACCCTGTGCACTCATTATCTGGAGTCTAATCCTGTTACTGAATTTTGATTTTGTAAGAGAAACAGCTATGAGATAATTCAGAAATATTCTTAATTACATGTAGTCAGAACTACAGTAAGAGTAGCTTCCTTTGCTATAAAAATTATTGTATTTGTATTCCACATCAAGGTTAAGATTGCCTTTAAATGTAATAGCTATCCCACATGCTTTATTTGAGCATCTATTGATGCAAATGCTTTCTTCTAATTATTGAACACAAGTGTCCATCGAACAGTTAATGGCTCATATAAGGGAATATTGATTCCTTTTTCTGAAGTCCATAAACAAAGACATTATATCCATATCTTTGGGGTCCCCAACCAGAGAGAATGTGAAATTCTGGAACAGAGCACTGAAGAACAGGAAGAGCAATTCTATCAAAAACTATATAAAAATATTAGATTTAAACTATCAAAATCTTTGTATAATGGGAGATTTTAATGCAATAGTAGATGGAACTTTGGACTATAAAAGCACCAAACAAGGGAGAAAAGGAGGAAATATATTACCTAAAATGTTCTTAAAAATGATAAAAGAACTCTGCATTCAAGATATATGGAAAGAGAAAAACCCAAATAAATTGCAATACACATTTTATTCAAATAGACATAAATCATGGTCTAGAATCAATATGATATGGACATCTTTGGAATTGAAAATGATGATTCCAGAAGTTGAGATGGAAACTAATGTTTAGGCAGACCATAACCCACTAAAAATGACTTGGAAAGGAACTAAGGAAAAATCAAGATGGTCCTTGAATAAATCTATATTGAAAGAAAAAGAATTCTTACAACTAGCGACAAAGGAAATGGAATTTTTCTTCAAAATAAATAAGAAAGAAGAAACATCGCTTCAAAATGTGTGGGACACGGCTAAAGCATATTTCAGAGAGTTGGCTATAACTTATATCGCTAAGAAGAATAAAGAATAAAGAAAAGAAACAACTACACTTAAAGTTAAAGGAAGAGCTCAGAAAGATAGAATCAGAATTACAAATAGATCCACAAAAGAAAATACTTAAGAAACAAGTGGAGATAATAAAGCATAAATTAAATTTAGCCGAGATGGAAATAATGACTCAACAAGGATCACTTCCTATACTTAGCAAACAAGAAAATAAACTTATTTAGGAAGCATTTGCTCGAATTGTGTCTGATAAAAGACTAACATGTATCAAGTAATCATGTTAATTTGCAATACAATCTGTTCCAGAGGCATATACCTGTTGCAAATGGCACAAAAGCATCACTTTTCCTAAACTGGCCCTTTTCATCCAAAAAATGACTGCGATTTTCTTATCTTAGTTTGACCCATCCTACTTTTTTATGTTTCATGAAAATAGGCATCCACTGCCATATATTTCCTATACAAATATACCTTTTACAACACACACACACACACACACACACACACACACACACATATTTGAGAATTAATTATGCTAAAAATCCGACTCTTGGGAATCATAGTAAACGAATAAAACCGAGCACCAAGAGAAGTAAAGTATAAAAGTTTAAAAATTTACTGAGCCGAGCTTTCATCAGAACCCGTCTGACATCATCAGGGCGTTAAAACAGCAGTCTGGGAGAAACCAGTTTGGATGTCATGCACACACGGTCCATTGAGGGCAAGAGGGGAGAGAGAGAGAGGTGGATGGAGGGAGAGGGAAGAAGGGGCAAGGGGGGAGAGAGAGGGAGGAGAGAGAGTGGGGGCAAGGGAGGG